TATCTACAATCTCTACACCCATAACTTGCTGATTATCAGAAATTCGTTGAGGAATGCCTCTGGTGTCTGATCTTTGCCCTTCGTAGGTTGTGTTACCGAGGTGATATAACAATGTCTGGCCATCTCTTGGTTTCCTCGCAGTGTTGCTATTCCCATAGGAGTGGGGAACTTCATGCAGAGGTGAGATTGGGAAACCACAGCTCGGATTTCAGTCAATGTGGGTCGGCCAATAACAATGTTGAAAGAGGACGCCATCTTGACGACGAGGAACCGGACTGGAGGGGCTACATAGGTCCGACCACTGCCAAAAGCCACATGGAGGGTAAGAACTCCTTCTACCGGAACAGGCTGGTTGTTGAAACCATAGATAGAACCATCATATTTCTGCAACAATGCTGGATCCAGTCCAAGACTCTCGAAACAGTGGAAGTACATGATGTCTAGTGCATTCCCGGTGTCGACAAGGACACGCTGTACTTCACAATTGTTAATCATGACAAAAGTGACCAGAGAATCATTGTGGGGTGTAACAACTGTGTCGAGGTCAGCATATGTGAAAGTAATGGGTTGATTCTTCCACTCAGCATCGTCAATCTTCCGCTTCTGGGCTCGGTTTTGATGTTTAACTTCTTTGACATACAGCTTTCACTGCTTAGAGCTTAGTCCACCTGCTTCAAGGCCTTCCGTAATCATGTGTATGATTCTAGCTGGTGGTGGGAGCAGAGGTGGGGCTTGTTGATATCCCACACCTTGCCTGTTTGGGGGATTGCGGACTCCTTGAGGCTGTGGCCTCTGTTCTTTGACAAACCTCGGTTGTTCAGCTTTCTGAACATACTCATTCAGCATTCCCTTCTGAGCTAGACTTTCCAGTTCGGACTTTAAGCTGTTGCACTGCTCTGTAGTATGGCCGTGATCTTCATGAAAATCACAATATCTGGTATGGTCTCGGCTAGCAGCAGCAGTTCGCATTGGGCCAGGACGCCTTAAATCCATTTTGTTCTTAATCTGCATGAAAATCTGTGATCTCGGCAGATTAAAAGAAGTCCAAGTAACTGGGGGTTTACCTGCAGACTATTGCGGGGGTGTAGAGTTCGGCCTTCCGAATCTCGGTGCGGAGGTCGGCATCAGACCTCGGTTCTGCGCCATCCTCATCCTTTTCCGGCTCGGATTGTCATATCTCCACTCTGGGTTCTGGTTCTTAGAGGGAGGTGGGTTTTGCGCCAGGGCGTATTCCTCAGCAGTTATAAATTTCAAAGACCTATCATTCACCTCGCTAAAGGTGATGGCAGTGTGTTCGATCAAACTGTCTCTGAACCTATCATGTTTAAGACCGGAGATCACAGCTGCAATGCCCACAGCTTGGTCGAAGGAACTAACCTCCAACACCGCATCATTGAACCTGCTCATGTAGTTCTTCAGAGACTCTCCGTCCCTCTATTTAACCCGCATCAACTCAGAAGTAGTTTTCCTAATCAACCTTCTACTGGAAAACTTAGTGGCAAAGGCAGATGCCATTTCTGTATAAGAGCTAATTGACCTCGGAGGTAAACTGTAATACCAAGTTCGAGCATTACCTCGCAGAGTAGAGGGGAAGATTTTACACATCAACGCGTCAGAGGCGTTCTGAGCTTGCATGCAAGAGTAGAAAGCATGCAGGTGATCATCGGGATCCTTTGTCCCACCATAAGTCTCCAGTTGTGGTATTTTGAAGCCAACAAGATAAGGTTCCAGTGTGATGTTGGTATTCAGTGGGTGAGGTATAGAATCAGCAGCATGGTGTGGGGGTGGAGCACCTCGGTGTTCAGCTACTAGCTTTTCCAAGCTATCAAGGCGTCGAGTGACATCGTCAGGGATGGGTTG